TGAAGCATGGGCCCTGGGGGCGGGTTGATCCTATTTCGGATTTTAGCTTATAATTTCGTATTTTTCTTGTGGAATTGATTCTTTTAGCCTATATTAATTATATCGTGTTGCTTGTGGCTTGATTCGGAGCGTTGGGAGATTGACTCGAGGGGCAAAGGCATTGCATAGTAGGATTTTGCGCGGTTTGAGATAACTAACAGTTTTAAATATGGTCATGAGGGTATGAAACCCCAGATTATTGGATTATGTGAGTATTTTGGAGGTAACGCACATGCTAGGTGACGAGCGTGTGGGCGTGCACCATAGGAATTGGGACTTGGTCCATTCCGTGAAACTGTAAAGTTCAATAACTTATTTCTAGCTATATTCTTTTCTTGTGTTATAGAAATGTTGACTGCAAATCATGTTAGAAATCATGCTTAGACTATGTGATGGTACTGTTGGGACCCACAGAGGTCGCGTACTTGTTGAATTACTTGCTAATTGTTGTCTTGTACTCAGTCATGGTTTTACTTGAGTATCATATCTCAGCCTCTTCTTGATTCTTGTTGATATACTATGTTATCTTTGTTGGGCCGATTTTTGTGATTTCCGAGAGCCCGAAAGACTAGAGAGGTTGATGATTGAGTGAGGTCGAGGGCCTGTCTATGAGGTATTGTTACTATGGCACGTGAGTTGTCTGTGCAGCGCGTGAGTTGTCCGTGCGGATCCGTATATTGATACTATAGCACGTGAGTTGTCCATGCAATATATAAATTATCCGTGCGGATATAATGCTTGGGCTGAAAAGAGCCCCTCCGGAGTCTGCACACCCCCAGTAAGCGCATGTACCTATTGAGTGTGAGTAGTGAGGGCTAAGAGCCGAGTGATTTGAGTTGTTGTGATGAGTTGAGTGACTGTTGCCCTGAGAGGCTGTACTTGTTTTTTCATTTGTTGATGCACTTAGTTGCTATCTGTCATTGCTGTGAAATTCCTGAAAGATTCTATATCTGGATTACCTGAACTTGAACTGTATAAAACTGAGTTGACTTAAACTGTCGGGTTTGAAAGCATGTCTATTCTTTGCTGGAACTATTGAAAATGAACTGTATTTGTATAACTCGTCACTACCTTCTCAATTCCTTATTTATTTTGTTACTTCCTGAGTTGGTTGTACTCGCGCTACACCCTGCACTTCGTGTGCAGATCCAGGAGTTCCCGGTCATAGCGGGTATTGATATTTGAGTAGCTGATTCCGGAGACTATCGAGGTAGCTGCATGGCGTTCGCAGGCCTTGGTTCTCCTTCATTATCTTATTCTCATTTCAGTTCTTATTCCTTAGATGTTGTATTAGACTGCTCCTGGTATAGATGCTCATGTACTCAGTGGCATCCCGATGTCGGGCTATTTTACTTCCGCACTTATGCTTTGGGTTTTACCCTATTTTTATGAAAGACTCCGGTTATTTTAAATATATTAATTCATTTCTGTTAAATATTGAAAGTGTTTTGGAGATATCGGCTTGCCTAGTATCACGATAGGCGCTATCACGATAGGTTAGATTTTGGGTCGTGACAGGTCTAGACTAAAACGATGTAGTTTAGAAGTCAACTACATCGTTTTAATCCTCTAAAAGTAATCTTTAGCAGACGGGTTCTGAATTGAACTGGGCTGAAACGAAATAGGCTGAGTCTTTGAACGAAGGCAAACCTCTTTCTCTTTCTCTTTTCTTTTACCCAATCAGCCACATTCCAACTTGAATTCCAATTAACACATTTTTTGCACTTTTAACCTATTTACCTAATAGACTACCTAATTAATGATTAAATCGTCACTTAACCTAACAAATTATCTAATTATGCAATTAACAATTCTTATGATGCAGAATGAAAGACTACTACATTTTTTGGTAATTTTATGATTTATAATGCACTTAAATGCCACTAAATGCCAAAATACAATTAATTATGCAGAACAAATAAATAAAAATTCATAAAAATCCCATAAAACTAAAAATAACTAAAAGACTAATCTAGAGTATTTTTAGGAGTAATTTTAAATAGGGCAAAATTTATATGCTCAAAGTTGTGTATGCATCTTCAAACCTACGGGTAAAGGTCATAAACCCCTTAGACGAGCAAAGGCACAAAGTTGGTCCCCCACGTCACACTCCGCCATTTCCGTAGTTCTACCGCCAAACCATTGGCTCTAATACCCGTTATTGGGTTAAAACGACCCAAAAGTACTCTTAATATGATGTGATATTGTTCGCTTTGGGCCAAACTCGCACGATTTTCTCCAAAAGGGCTCACACCATTAGAGTATCTAGCTCCTTATAAGCGACTTCTTTTTCTTTTCTACTTCCATGTGTGACTTTGTTCACACATACCAAATAACTTTTTGTATAATTTTTAAATGTTTGAATTTTAATTTTAAAATATTGAGTTAATTTGTTCCAATTTACCTTCGTTGACTCTTGATAAAGCGAAAAATACCATATAAATTGGGACATAAAGGAGTAAAAATTTAAAAATTACGACAACTGTGATTGAAGTATTATAAGTTATGATGACTTCAATATTTTCTTGTTTAGCATGTTGGCCCATGCTAGCACCCATACCCCAACCTAGTTTTGTTAAAAAAGCGAGGACGTTTGGTAGGGGAACAAGTTATCCCGAGATTATAATAATAAGATTATAATATAAGGAGTAAATGATGATAAAATTATATAGTGAATATATTTTTATTGGAAGATGTTTGATTTATTGGACTAGATATGGAATATACAAGGTATAATATAAATATGTGTTTGGCGTATAATAGATAAGTTGTGATAAACTTTAGTTTTAATTTTAACCTTGAATTGTCTAAAGACTTTGGGGAAGAGCCTTGAAGAAGTGCATCTTTGTTATTTTAGTGTTTATCTCGAAATTAATTAATTCCAAAATTATTATCCCGAAATTATTATCAATGTGGGATGAATAATACCCAACTGTAGGATTAACTAATCTTGAAATTACTACTCCTAAATTTAAAATTCAATGGAATGTGAGATAAAATAATTCTACATCTAATCCCGATATTATTTCCAATCCCACGTACCAAAAGACCCTGAGAGTTAAAGGATTGGTTTTGGCAAAACGGTACAAGTCCAATCTAAGGGTGTCAATTTGAACCCAAACCCATTCAACCCGCCCAACTCGCCAAGAGATTAATGGGTTGGGCTATAACATTTTAGCTCATGGGTCTATTTGGGCTGAGCTCAAGTTAACCCATTATTTTTTATAGCTCATTCTGACCCATGAAGTAGCCCAAATATAACCCATGAAGCTCACCCCAAAACAAAGAATCTCAACCGAACTTATCTAGAAATTTACTTAGTTGCCAAATCATTAATTTTTGTGTCTAAGTTTAAAAATGAGAATCAAAAAATTTAAGTTTTAGGGTGTGTTTGGTATGACGAAAAATATTTTTCGAAAAATATTTTTCCATTTTCCATTGTTTGGTTGCACAAAATCTCTGGAGATGCCTGGAGGCAAAAGGTGTGTCGGTTCCCTACATTATGGCGATTAAGGACATGTATGATGGGGCTAAGACTCGAGTTAGGACAGTAGGAGGCGGCTCTGAGCATTTTTCGGTTGTAATGGGGTTACACCAAGGTTCTGCGCTCAGTCCGTTCTTATTCGCCCTGGTGATGGACGCGTTANAGGGGAGATCGACGAGGATGTCACACACCGCATTGGGGTGGGATGGATGAAGTGGAGGTTAGCATCTGGAGTCTTGTGTGACAAGAGAGTGCCACTGATACTCAAAGGTAAGTTTTATAAAGCGGTGGTTAGACCGACCATGATGTATGGGGCTGAGTGTTGGCCCGTTAAGAACTCACATATCCAGAAGATGAAAGTAGAAGAAATGAGGATGTTGCGGTGGATGTGCGGGCACACTAGGATATATAAGATTAGGAATGATGATATCCGGGAGAAGGTGCATGTGGCTCCCATTGATGACAAGATGCGGGAAGTAAGGCTCAGATGATTCGGACATGTTCAGAGGAGAAGCCCAGATGCTTCGGTACGGAGGTATGGGCAGCTAGTTGTGGATGGCACGAGAAAAGGTAGAGGGCGACCTAAGAAGTATTGGGGAAAGGTGATCAAGCAGGATATGGCGAGACTCCAGATTTACGAGGACACGACACTTGATAAGAAGATGTGGAGGTCGAGTATTAGGGTTGTAGGTTAGGAGGTAGTTGAGTCATGCCTTACTTCGTACCATTGTGGGACTAGCCATATAGGGTTTTTGTCTAAGATAGCTAGTGGCAATGTTGTGGCTTACTATTTCGCTTTTCAGTGCATGTCCTATTTACTAGCTGTCATTTTTGCTTTGCATCTTTCTTCTAGATTTCATGGTGTTCCTATTTTTCTTATGATTGTTGTGTTGATACTAATATTTACTAATATTGTCTCCCTTTGCTTTGCATCTTTCTTCTGGATTTCATGGTGTTCCTATTTATCCTATGATTGTTGTTGTGATACTAATATTGTCTCCTTTTTGTCATTTTGTCTTTTTATTTTATTGAGCCGAGGGTTTTTCGAAAACAGCCTCTCTACTCCTTCGGGGTATGAGTAAGGTCTGCGTACACACTACCCTCCCCAGACCCCATTAGTGGAATTTTAGTGGGTTGTTGTTGTTGTTGTTTGTTGCACAAAATAGTTTGGAATTTTTTTTTCGTTTTTCTGCACCCTTTTTTTTTTTTGTATTTTCAATTTAAATACTAATTTGTTATTTAAGAAAATATATTTTGATTTTCAAAATATTAAGTATTTATTTATCTTTTACACATAGGTGTATAAATGATAAAATAATTTATTTATGCAAGATGAACATGATTCTAAAACATGGGTCATATTATACGGGTTGGGTTATGACAACCGTTTTGCAAAACGATACAAGTTGAGGTGTCATTTTAGGTATCAAACCTATTAATCAACATAGATACACACACTCGCTTAAAAATTGTAAATGTGTCACCTTAATCACATGCATCATGAAAAAAGGGTTACTTATTGACTGGAATAAGCTGATCAACGACGCCGATGACGAGCCTCCAGCAGAGCTCGTGGTCACCACTAAAGCACCGCCGGCGGCAGCGGCGGAGATACACCAACCGACGATTGCCGTTGACGGAGAAGAACAAAGTGACGAACTTTCGATATTAACGAATGCTGAACTAACCGACAAAATAGCCAGGCTCAAGAAGTTGCTTGGCTCCAGAGGCGCTATGTTACCTGATGGCGGTGAGAAGTTGAAGGCAAATATTAAAAAGCACGAGGATGAATTGGAGCGGAGAAAATCCGATAAGGTGAGACTCTGAGTTCTAACTAGTTTGGGACTTATTACTGTTGGTCGTACATTCACTGGATTTTGTTGATTTTCGAAGAAGAGAGTAAAATTTTGAAGAACCCTACATATAAGAGTGTTGCGGAGTAGTTGAATTATGGACTAATTTCTAAATTAAATTTTGCTTTAGAACTAGTACAAAAATGTAGTGGGAAATGTGTGCATTTGTTTTTCACGTGTACTTTGGCTCATGCATTTGCTGCATTTATTGGATTTTTGGTGAATAGGGTGACCATCTATAAACTTTATTAAAAAGAGTCCTTGCACCATTAACATGTTGTATTATTTGATCATTATCATTTTCTTATGACGGTGGTCCGGGGCCAACTTGTGCACGCACCTTGACTATTTCGTCGGGTACCTACTACCTCCCACTAGCACAAGTAACCGGTAACTCTACGCATCAAGGCTTGGGCAAATGAGAAAATGTTTTTTGCCTCCACTGGGATTTGAATCTGAGACCTCATGGGTCTCCTCCCACTTCATCGACCACTACCGCATTATCAACTTGAGGTAGTGTGATTTGCTTTTCCCAAATAAACCTGATTGTGAGTTATGTTGACCCACAATTCTTATATGAAAAGGTAAAAATTGTTGACCCACATTCGCATAGCAAATGGTGGGCTTTATGTTACTCTGGTATTGGTTGATAAGTGAAAGCTGCTTATAAGTATGTTTTAACTAATATGGCATCAGTGTCATAATTTGAGAGAGGGATTACAATACTCTAATGAAAAATCTATCACGAATAAAAGAGAGAAAAACTTTTTTCAATAACTTGTGTATAATCATAATGGTGCTGTCAATCATGCATAGTGATAGATCCATGTTTGGAATATGTTCTCTCGAACAAATGTGTCTTTTTCCTCTTTGATTGGTTATGTAATTGAGCATTATTGCTTACACCATTTTGACAGGAAAATGGATGTGCCTCATGGGGGAGGCACAAGTCTGGTTCTATTGGTAAGTCAATATTTTCTTTATGCATTTTTGGGACTATGTTAAGCCTTTCTCTGTTTTAAAAGAACAATTTAAGCTTTTCTTTTGTTACAAGTTCTTGTCTATACGAATTAAGGGAAGTTCCTTAGTGGGGAGAACAGATATATGCAAAAGAACTTCTAGCATACCAAGTGTACCCATGGTCCAGCTTGGAGAGGTCTACTGCTGACTTAGGCACTTTATGAGTTCATTACACGAGCATGAGTGCGACTCTGGTTTTATGTAAATGTATGCATGCAGCTACATGGGAATTAGATGGGCAAAAGATTTGAGTTGCTTTACAAAATATTTGTTTGAAAGAGAAGTAAAGGCAGGTGGAATTTTGTAGGTGCACTTGATGGCCTTGGGCAACGGTCAACACAATCAGCATCCCCTTCGCAATCTGCGTTTGCTGCGTGCTTTTCAAACAAGCTGGAGGAAAAAGTATAGCCCTACTTTAATAATAAATCTTATCTGAAAATAGTAAATGTTATTCTGCACTTACGGCAACATATATGTATTTTTTTTCTTACTGATTAACAGGCAGACACTAAGCCAGAAAATGCTTTCCAAAATGAATTACATGCTCTAAATCCATGTGGCCGCAAAAGGACATTAAACAGGCAGTTTCCTACAAGACAAAGACATAAGATAGCATNCATTAACCCTGTTCTCGCTGATCTTTCCGTGTGTATATTTCTTTCAGCTACTATCTTTTTGGACTATGCACCTTCTAGTTCCAAGTTTGATTTTATGAACATGTTCATACTTCAAAGATATTACTCAACAACAACAACAACAATGACCGAACTAGAATTAAATTGTCAAAGGGACAAATCTGAGGGGTTGTTTTGTTCTGTCAATGCTTTCATGGCCAAGACAAAGGTGGATTATATATTACCTACCTGCTTAGAGGGAGCGTTGTCACTTGTCAGCTAGTAAGGTGATTGTGAATGGGATAATACTTGGGGGAATTGGAATTATGATTGGTAAATTTTCGCAGCACATTTCTTTATGGATTAGGTGCGGAAATTTACGTGGGATTAACTTTACCTTTTTTAATCACATTTCTGTATCTACGACTAACCATATAAAGGATAAAGTAATAAAAATATATGGAGGGCTTGATTGGGGAAGATGTGCTGCTATGAGGATGGGTGTGTAAGGGGAAGAGTGTAAAATAGTATCTTTGTGCCTTGCTAGGAGTGACGGTATTAGATTAAAAATCCCCTGTTCCGCGGCACCCCAACAGATACACAAATGTAAATGTTAATCCCCTCATTGTAAGCCTAATGAATTGTTAGGTTGAGCTACCAATGCTGGACGTGAATCTGGATTATAATTTCTCCCTAACGAATTGAACCAAACTACAGTTCCGAAGGAGGATTTATAATCCCCACAATATTCTATTCCTTATGTGGCAACCACCCGCGGTGAGAGAAGTGCAGTTCCAGTGATGACATTTTGAAGATCCAGTCGTTTCCACATTCTAGTTCCAACACTACGCGGAAAATCAGTCTATTTCATGCTCTAAAACAGCACATCTGTACTCACAATGTATCTTTGTGTGTTCATTTGGGTAAAAAGCCGGAAGATTGCATCATTATATGTTCAACCGAAACCCATCTTTGTGCAAACGAGCCATGAATTTGAATTTGCTGACCATTCATTTGCTTCTCCCGCATCCCCTTAGTCTAACTTTCAACTTGTTGTTGGAGCTTTGTTATGAAATAAAGGAACAAAAGGAAAATGTGTTTGATTATGATTTGCTGCTACTTTCTCAGGTGGAAAGCTTCTCAAGCCCAATCTTCATGTACTTTGAGGCATGTGAATGTAAGATTTCCCTGTATCTTTCTTTCCTTTTGGTTTCCTCGTGTACATTCTTCATTGAGTAGAAAAATTGCGTGCGTTTTTGTTCCTATGTATGGATTAAGGGATGATAATGGCTACTTTATCCTTGATAGAGGAAACAATCATTAGTCATTTCCACTGCCTCTTTTCTTTTCTCCCTTTGGCGGTGGCGATGGTTAGTAGCATCGTGTATGCATGGATTCATTAGCTTATTCGAACTTCTACTTTATTTGAAGTGGTAAGTATTATTGATGTAAAAAAAACAGCACAAAGAAAGTGCTGATTACATCTGAAAGTACAGGCAAAAAACAGAAAAAAACTAGCAAAAAGAGCTAGTAACAAAGGGGAGGAGTGCCCAGTCTATGCTTTACAAAAGATTCTATGAACTGTAGCAAGGGCTCAGCCTCATTTACGCATTCCAATTTACACCAAAAGCCAAAAGTAGACAATCATAGGTCTTTAGTATGGGGTTGTTGTAGCCTTCAAAGCCTCTTCTGTTTCTCTCTTTCCATATACGCCACCAAATACAAGCAGGTATGGCATTTCCAATTTTTTTCTTTCCTTTAGGCAGTCCCTTCAGCATTGAATGAGATCTGCAGCTGACCTTGGCATGGTCCATTTTTTACCCAAAATATTCAGAAACATCTGCCAAAAGTTCTGCAGTGTAAAGACAATGCAAAAAGATGATTGCTGGATTCAGTCTCTTTTCCACACAAGTAACAGATTGTTGACAAGTTGGAAGCCCCTTCTTTATAAATTGTCTTGAGTTAAGCACACTTCTCTGATTACCAGCCATACAAAACACATTACCTTTGTTGGAGCCTTAGAATTCCACACTATGATAAATCTGGTACACCTTCTTGTCAATAAACAGTAACAAGACTTTACAGTGAATTGTTGTAGCCTCTCCCCCTTATTCAAGATAAAAATTTCTATCTTCAGTATGGTTCATGTTCGAGGTTAGAAGTGTGTCAGTCTTGTATTTACTCCTAATATGGTCCCGGGTCTCATTATGACGTTCTTTATTTTCTTAGGATGAGGCTGTTGTTCTAGTGGATGAGGAGGAACCTGATGTTGTTGAGATAAGGCAGCAAGTTCATGTGGTTGAAAGGTATTGAACTGATATATTTGTCTTTTCATGTGACACGTAAGCAAGCACCTAGTTTTAGTTCTGGTAGCAATTATTGATTACTCTTATACCTCATTCAGCACAATGGCAACCAAGATATACTATCCGTCGAGGTATGTCCTGAATGAGCATTTTTTATCAGCATCACTTATTACCTTGGGCACTATCTCTCATTTTTTATTATGATATCTGTACCATCTTTTACATTGATTAGGGATGATCCTGAATCAGTCGAAATCTGTTATTCAGACATGGAATCTCTTGCTCCTGAAGCATATCTGTCATCTACTATAATGAACTTTTACATCCGGTAAGTGAAAGAGATTCTGATCGACTAGTTACTGAATTGATTAGAAAACATAGAAGTTATATGTCTGGCATAGATAGATAATATGCACATCTAGCTGTCAGTCACAAAGTACAGATCCATTTTTGAATAGAAAGGTGTTCTTCAAACTGCTTTTTCAGCAATACCTACCATAATATATAAAATACGAACTGTAGCTGATTGAATAATTTGTTGTGACAGATTCTTATGTTTAGATATTACTATGTTAATGTTCTGTGGATATCTCAGATATTTTTGTACTCTATATCCTTCCCAGACAAGCAGATCGCATGTTATTCTACTCAGCTGCCTGTGAAAACAAACTAAGGGGTCGTTTGGTTGGCCACATAAGAAAAATAGTACAGGCATAAAATTCTGCTTACTAATACAACATTTGGCCTACAAGATAAAACTCTGCATTATGAATTTAATCTTTGCATAACTAATACAATGTTCAGTTTCCGGTATGAAACTCTCTTTAAACAATGCAACTTTGGTTTGTGGTATTGAACTCTGTATTGCTAATATTGGCATAATATGCAGCAATTAACTACTATTTATACAGGAAAAAAAATGTGAAACACAGATAAACGTATTAGCAACATGAATAAAGGTATCACGCCAACTTATAAAAAAAAAAAGGTATCACGCCAACTTATAAAAAAAAAAGGTATCACGCCCAGACTTCGATCTAAGTGGTAAGACCTATTTCTGGCCGCAAACAAAAACCCGGTATTTAAGTGGAGAAAGGTAGAGTGGTGGTTCCAATATCCACCGAGTTTTGAACCATGTGCCTGTTGGCCTTGGGGAATTTCTTGGTTATAAAAAACACGAATATGAGTATCTCAAGAAAAAATGCCCTTAAAGAAGGCAATCCATGCTTAATCGTTCCTGTATTATTGTTCACCCCATAGCAGTCCTTACATATTTTTCACCGCATAACCATCCATCCATTATTTTTCACTGCATAACTATTCATGTATTATAATTCTTGCATAATTAATCCGTGAATGAAACAAAACTTCTGACTAACCTACTAAACAGTGTTGGATGACAACTTAATTTTTAGCAGCTTCTTTTAGATTGTTTCCTCCGTCCGTCTTTATGGAATTAAAGTAATGATACCTTTTGAATGCATGAACTTGATCAAATCTTAAGTTATCATTGTTTATGTTTTTGTCTTTCACAGCATTTTAATATCACAAAAACCACTAAATACAAAAAATATCTTTTCTTGAAACTTTTTAGTCCTCAGTGGCACTGATGCTGATGCAGGTATGCGATACTCTTTTAACCTTGATCAATGTTGACTCTGTGGAAAAGAATGATAATATTTTCTATCAAGTGATTAAACATAATTACTTATGTATGTATAGAAGTTCTTTACTAATCCTTCCTACGCGATGTATTGGTGGCTTCCCATTGACTACTTATGCTTCTTCAATTTGTTAGCATCATGAAATAATCACTCGAGAGATAATATTTGGATTAATTGGCGTTTAGATGATCATGGTAGCTTGATATCTTGGGAGTGTGAGAACTGGACCTTTTTGCCTATGAGACATACTCCTTGAGTTTGTGTGACACGACAACCTTGTTTTAGTAATCTAAGTTAGATATTGTTGTTCTATTGATTCCAAAGTCATCTGGTAGAGGATAGAGGATGCTAGACAATGACTTATTAAATCTGTTATTCCCTAATTGCCTTCTCTTGTTGGATAGGTACCTCCAGCAGACAAAGTCTCTTGCAGATGGTGAAAGGTGCGCATATCACTTTTTCAATACATATTTTTACAACAAGCTCAAAGAGTCTGTTTTCAGTAAGGTAATATTTCTTCTCTGCTAAATCCTTACTGTAAACTTAACTAACTGGTTTGTGTAATATAATGAATCCTGGTAGAACGGATCATAAGGAGAAGAAAACTTAAGCACTTAATCTCCATAGCAGCTTTTTTACTTATTGGACAAATATGGAGTTGGATTTTACATTTTTTAACAGTAAATTGATACACACGTGCATGAAAATGATTTAAGTTAAGAAGCACCTGTAATTGCTTGTAGACTCCATTTGATTCTCAGGTAGATGTTGTTTCTCTCGTCTTACTTGTGTGCTTTTATTGTCTGTTTGGATACCCTTATGAGAAACAAATATAGAGTTGCTATGGGATGGGTGGTGCAGGATAACTCTGTGCTTTGTACTTGTATTATGATCATGCAAATAAAATATACCAAATACTCCCCCATTTTATGTGACGGTGTTCGATTGGGCATGGAATTTAAGAAAGAAAGACTTTTGAAGACAGGCCATAAACTTTTGTGCGGCTATAAAATCATGTCATTAAGGGTAAAATGAAAATTTTAAAGTTAAAATGTTTCCAAAATGTAGAAGGCGTCATTCTTTTGGGGACAGACTAAACAAGAAAGTGTCACATAAAATGGGATAGAGGGAGTACTGTTTATTTATAGAAACCAAAATGAATTCTGAGGATTGCTTCTCTCTCTCTCTCTCTCTCTCTCTCTCTCTCTCTCTCTCTCTCTCTCTCTCTCTCTCTCTCTCTCTCTCTTCTTTTCCTTGCTCTTGCACTTATTCAACTATATCAACGACTTAATCAACTAAATCTTAATTCTAAATTAGTACCAGATGCCTATATGAATTCTCCGTATCATTTTGCTCTATTCAGGTTCATTTCATTCAAAAATCTTAAAGTTTCTCCTTAAGGCAAAATAGGGGTACTCCAAAACCAGTGGTTCTCTAAATCTTGCGCTTAGCCTAGTCACACATATAGTTCTCTAATCAAAATTAAAAGACTACTGACTAATACACCCTAATGTTAGTGTAACAAATAACTACTAAGCCTGTATCCTGCCTAATTGCCATTGCTTGGATGGATCCTTTGCTTTCATTGTGTTGTGTGCTTAGCTAAGTCTGCAGTGATTACAAGAGATTGTAAGCTTCTCAAGAGAAGTTTATAATGTGTGATTTTAGGTTTACCTCATCACTTTTTATCACTTTCAATCATCGGCACACCTGCTGTCTGGAGGTCTATATTAGATATGGCATTATCATTTCAAGCGACCCCTTATTTCATCCTTCGTGTGTACTATGTTCACTCCTTGTTAGGTGTGTTCGTTTCTAATTTTGTCTAATCTTGTATGACATCACACCCATCTTAACTTCCATTTTACATCCATCCTTTTTTTATCGGTAAATAAGAAATTCTTTTAGCATCCATCTTATATATGTAAATCTGAATAATTTTTGGTTTCCTAATTTTTAACAGCAGAATGACAAGGAAGCTTCGTTTGTCAAATTAAGGAGGTGGTGGAAGGGGGTGAATATATTTGAGAAAGCCTATATATTTCTTCCCATACATGAAAAGTAAGTTTTCGAGGTTGCATTTGCCATTTCATTGGTTCATGAGGATTCAGTACTTGGGTCAATTATGCTGTCCGCCGAGCTTTTATACTTGGCCTAGTTTAGCAGTTTTAATCAATTTATGAAACTACATTATTTAGGTCAAATTTGATGCTTGTTCAATGTGGATCATATATTGGGACTTGTTTACTTTTTCCGCATTTTGCTAAGTAATTGAAAAGATTTGAGTTTTTAATAGCCTCACTGGCTTTGCTCAGATTCTTTTTATTTTCTTTTATTTCTCCCTCTCTTCTCTCTCTCTCTCTCTCTCTCTCTCTCTCTCTCTCTCTCTCTCTCTCTCTCTCTCTCTAT